CATTTCAATAATACTCACAATTTGGTTTTAGAGTTGTATACTTTCCCTAAGAGTAAAATTTGTAGTCTAGTCAATTACTATGTCAAACTACTACTACTACCAGTACTACTACTATGTCGAAACTAAGTCCGATCTACGCCAAATAACCCCCTCCATTATACATCCTTATCCCGCTTTGAATCCAAAGCTTGTCATCGTATATTGTCAAAGATTGTATATAACCTGGCAGAAGCAAGCTTCAGATCCAAAGTCAGGTCAAAAGTATCAACACAGGATTGAAACCATTTCTAAAGTAGCGAATCATCCAATGTGTTGGGGATAGTTACGCCTCGACACTCTATCTGGTAGGCAAGTTTGGGGCGTATATAGTACGTTAAAAATATTTCCTTTGCGTTTCAAATAAATCAAAGAATTCTCAGAAATTTTTTATTTAATTTCAAAATTTATAATTGCATATTCATCCGGTAATTATTCTAATGGATACGCTAAGCATTTCAAACTAATCTTGACCTGGGAGAAGAGCTGACCAGGGACCAGTCGGCCGAAAAATATATAGCCCTTTTTTTCTTTCCCAAACTGGATTCCTAGTCATATTTAAAATTTATTCCACTGGGGTCGGGCCACCTCATATACCCAAACCCAATTACTTATTCCCTACGATCTTTTTGCCTTCGGCAAGAGTAGGGAAAAAAATTGGCCAAGGAGTAAGAAGTTGGAATTATATAGGTAATAATTATTTTAGTCTCTTGAGTCTTGACACCACTTTAGGGTTAGACGGGATCCTGCTATCTTACTATATATAAAGCGAGACGATATATATATATATATATTTTGTAGCTGTACTCCTACACATTAAAAGTCGGTGTTGATTAGATCTTCGAAATAGGTCTTTGCATCATTTTATTAAACATCGTTATCTGAGATAAAATTGTTCTAAAAGCAACTGGAATATTCACAAATCTTTAAAATAACTTACAAACTAGGACAGGAAAACAAGTCTTAGGAAGACGTACAAAACTATGTGACTTAAAACGGTACAAAACTAAAATATACTGAGTAATAATCAAACGAAAAGAATGGCTGCGTACATTTTATCTAATCTATTAAAGATTAGTTTCTCGGAAAAAGCTAGATTTCTCTGAATCAAGCAGTAAAAATATATAAATAGTAATGAATATAACACGTCTCTGATAGCAATATTGTAAACTAAACACGGGTTAATAGGCTGAGATCATGTCAAATAAAATAAATAAACTAAACACTAAGCTCCAGCGGATTTAAAAAGGATGTGGTTACTATCGAGGGTGTTCATACCCACATAACGCTCAAGTACTACTACTATCACTAAATTTGTTGAAAGCATCGTCTACAATACTAGAATGGTAACCACGGGCTACAAGGTAACCAGTATATACCTCCTTTTGCTCTAAGAAATTAGTGTCTTCACTATTAATATATAATATATATTTATCCGTATAATATATATTTATCCGTGCCATTTTACTGACACCACGGCATCAACTTTTACACGACTTTCCGCAAAAACCGTAAAAGATATACTACTGAAACTTTTTTTGACTGGGTCAAATGCTTTAATGGCCTTCAAATCAGCATGAAAAAATAAAAAAATGGCCTACAAATAGGAGTTTTAGAGCCCAAAATTTGGACCCCCAAGTGGTGTCAAAAACGCGAATTAAATAGGTAATAAATATTTTAGTCTCTTGAGTCTTGACACCACTTTAGGGTTAGACGGGTTCCTGCTAGTAATTTATAAAGCGTACGTTACTGCCCACGTTAAGGGGCCTGTTAATAATTAATTAGATTGTTAGCTATTTTGGATTTAATAGTAATGATATATACCAAGACACAGTTAGTACCATGATTTCTCAACAGTTAGTAGGTACCGCAAAAGAGGTGGGTGTCTTAAACATTATCCGAAAAAACAGTTAGTATCACAAAGAGGGTGGGTGGGTCTTTTGAAAAATTCCAAAATTACACTTAGTCGATGTCACGTACAAAACTTAGTACCTGATCCCCCGCCAAACTGCATATCTAAAAACCGTTGGAAATGACTATTATACTTTGTTTTACTGAAATACTTTGTTTTACTATTCATTCGGAAAAAACAAGCGTCATTGTGATTTGATTTTATAATAATATATTCCTCGAATGAGTGATGATAGCATGTCATACCAAAGTGAATTATTTCAATCGGCTCTCAGTGACTGAGAAACAAGCCCAAACTTATGTGTACTGACTTTAAAATTATATAAAAAAATCAAATTTTATTGGTTTTTGTTTTAAATGCGAAGAAACTTGTGGGAAGAAACACCATTGTATCCATTTACATCCTTTGATTGAAATATGTCACATCATCATCATGAACGTTTTTGAAATTCTCTCAACTGTTATTTTCTGTATTTAGGCAAAACAGTTTCCTCAGGGTTAAACAACCTATTTTATTATTCACTTCTTAACAATAACTTAGGATGGTTTCTGATCAAAAGAATTATATAATTATTCTTGTGGTTTTGGTAACGCTTACCTCTAAAGCATTTGGATCAAGCGGTAATTACTCAATCAACGATGAAGAGCCTGGTAATTTTGATGACTTGCCCAAAGAAAGCAGGTAAAAAATTTGTTTCCCAAAAATGTTTGGAAGTACCTAAATTAAAAAGTTGGCCCTTTTTGGCCCCTTGCCCAGATTTCATGGGGGGTCGATGGCCCCCCTTGCCCCCAAGCTTCCTACACCCCTGGAGTTAGGGGCAGGGACCATCATATTATCCATTTAATCTGAGCATTTGCTAAATTCTTGTCATGGTCAGGAACTTCACCAGAATTGTCCTGACATTTAAACATGCTATCTTTATGAGTTGCTGCCAAATACCTGTCTCAATTTAAATATTATGTACTTATAATGATAAATAACTGAAGTCTATTTTCAGGACCCTATTCATCTTAAAAATCAGCTACATTGTTTGCGGCAGTCTTAGTGGAATTCTGTTAGCTGTTTCGCTTGTTTATTTATGTGGCTTCCGACAAGAAGGAGTATTTCAAGATTCTCTAGCTAGAGAGTACCAGTCTATGATGGGGAATGTTGAGAAGGGCTCATGTTTTGCTTGCTGTCAATCTGCTGGAACCACCCCATTAGGCACGCGGGTAGCACTTGGTCTTAGTATATTTTTTGGCTGTGCAAGCGGGGTCACTGCTGGATTATACTACTTGGACAAACTCATAGGAATAATTATAAATATTTCAATGATTTGTTATGTGATATTCGATTTTGGGAGATTTATGGTTGTTGAACATTGGTTGAAGCCAAAATGATAAAGTCTGCTTTACGATATCATATTGATAAGTGAATTAGACGATATATTGCTGGCAGCTGAAAGTAGCCCTTAACCTGCTTCACTTACTTGAATTGGCCGTTTGTGAACAACAGTGATGGAAGTTGGTACCGAGAATGGCCAACGATGACTGTACAGAATGCAGCCTTTTGAGAATGAGAGATCGCAGGAGGAGCTTGTGAATGTGAAGTTATGTCATAATGTTTTGAAGACTGCATGCATAATTTATCAGCTTTTTACTTTCGAGAGAAGACTTATTTGACACACTGAGACTTGAATCATCTCGTTGAAATTAATTTCCCAGCTGATATTAGGAATCGATAGTAGTAAGTATAAATCTAGAATTACCCTTACCAGGTTATGCTTATAAAAGTTTTTAAAATTAGATGGGCTTGTTATGATTGGGGCTAGTTGAGCTGGTCATGAGTGTAATTGAGGTGCAGTGATACTGTAGCTTTACAAAATTACATTCCGACACTATGTGAGTATAAGCTAAAATACGTGGAACTTGCAAACTATAATATTATCTAACTTTTACTATAACTACGGTATATTTTACATCTAATCGTGACTCAATTTCAATCTGTTGAGAGATTGCGATCCAGCTTGAGGAGTTATACATTTGAACCTCTTTTGTTTTATCTCGATTATCGATAGTGTTACCTCTAATCTGATAATATGCACTAATAATGTATTTTCTCGGAATGTTGTGTTTTTCCTGATTTAAAACGTATTCTCAACCCTGGGGCAGAATTTCTAAATCATCCGTTACCTTAGACGCACATATTTAGTAAATTGTAATATCCACCCAATCGGCCAAAGAATGCTGTTCCTTGAATACAATATATCGGTCGAATGGCGCATATTTTATGTAGGTATTCAATATTCATACATTATGCGGGTATTACGTTATTATTAAAAGACGAAAGCCGTTATACTAAGAATGCTCAATGCCAGCCGTTCTGCCAGCCAAACGGAGTTGTTCTTTAATTACAACACCTCACGTAACTGTGTTATAATGATACCATATATAATAATCTCAGTTATTAAATTTCTTTTCTTCGTGCCGCTAGGGTTGGAACCACCAAATTAAATTGTGCAACTAGTTGATTTTAGTGCAGAATGACCTTGTGTTGTCAAACATTGCGTCCATTGAATTGCTCAGTCAGCTACACTCCGCCGCTACAGTCTGCCGCTATAGCTAGTATACCAGCTGTTTGTGATTAAGCTACATATTATGCGGTTTACTTTCCACACTCTTTTAATTAAATTACACATTGACGCCTGACAATATATCTTTTCTAGTAATAGTTAGTACAGTATACTCATGGGATAAAAATTTCTTTTCAATTCTTAATTTCGTGTAAAGCTTTGATATACATATAATATGTTTGTATTTATATTATAATGAATATTATGTATGATCGAAAATATGATCGAAAACCTTTTTCTTACTACTTTTTGAACAACTAGTACTGATTTTTTATTGTGATGCCTAAAATAATTGTCAAGTTACTCAACTAGCAATTCTCAAATTCATCAGATATTTTTCATCTTCAGTAGAACAAATTATAAGAAATGCACAATGCACTCTGTGACAGTAAGGTTAAGTTTCAAATTCATGGGTGACTATATTGAAGAAATTAAAAACGCTTTCTTTAGAAAAACTGAAAAGATATGGCAAAGCAGTCCTTGCTGACTACTGCAGCGGTACTTTACCTTGTCTTATTAAATGCGTTTGCAGAAGTGCTACTTGATGAAAACAGTACTGAGTCCTCTGATAAGCATGAGCAGTAAGTTTATGGAATTTACATTAAATGTATATACATGTTATACATATACATATGCATATACATATTATACATGTATAAGGTACTTTGTCTAACGTACCAGCACTTATCCGTGTAGATAATTACACTGCACTTTTAGCGATTTGTTACCAACCACTCACATAGTTGCTTTCAATGAATTAAAATATTATTATATTCATTTACAGTACATATTTCTTATCTTGACATTATAATTTCAGATACCTAAAAAATCTAAAGTTGGCATACACAGTGTTAGCTATTGCCTGCGGAGTATTCTTCATCTCGGCAGTGCCCTACTTGTTTGGTTTCAGAAGGGAAGGCGTCGGAGCTGATACTCATGCTTCTGGGTGTCAGTCAGGAATTGGGAACGTAGTTGCAGGGTCCCTGTTTGCGTTGTGTCAGTGCTTTGGTGCAGTGACCTGTTTTGGGAATATCTTTTCAGTCGTTCTGTTTGTGGCCACAGGAGTTTCGAGCTTAGTTGTTTTGATAATTTATCATATATCAAAAGCGTAAGTCGATTCGGAAATTATTATTTCTTTTGTGTGATTTTAATCAATTAAATGTAAATACATATTATATAATATTCACTGACACATAGATTCTGAAGGAGATGTCTAAGTTCTTAGTTGAGATAAATAAACGACGTTTCCCTATAGAAAGACAGAAGGAACCACTGAACTGTTGATTTTTGGTTACCATTTCATAATCATTCATATCGTAGCACAATGCACATCATTCACATCATTCACATCATTCACATCATTTACATCATTTACATCATTCACATCATTCACATCATTTACATCATTCACATCATTCACATGATTCACATCATTCACATCATTCACATCATTCACATCATTCACATCATTCTCATGATCATTCACATGATCATTCACATGATCATTCACATCATTCACATCATTCACATCATTCACATCATTCACATCATTCATATTATCATATCATGGTAATTTTGTGATTGGGTTAAATTATTATATTCTTACTTGTTTCTTTTTCGATAAAGATGTGACGAAGTTAAACTTTAATGATTTTTCAATTTAATTTTTCAATGTAATTTGAGAATATTTTTGCATATTATTTATTTTCCCATTGATGTATAGTCAAGACGTGAGTGTTAGGGCTCTCATTGACGAATTTATGTTTAATCCTGTTTAATCCTGTTTAATCCTGTTTATATCAAAGGATCAAAGGCAGTGGCGTAACGAAAGGCCCTGCTGACCCCGCTGTGCAGGGGGGCGCCGTCTTAGGGGGGCGCCAAATCGTCGTTTGAATGTGGGACAATTTCGAAAACTTAACTAAAGTACTAGCAAAACTGCGCGTTTTGCTCTAGATACACACTTTTGTAGAGATTTTACCGGTGTATTCTCTAAAATCACCTAATTTGTTCAATTTTAGGGAGGGGCACCAAAAGGGGAGGGGGCGCCAACAGGGGGGCGCTTTTTTCGGCAGGGGGGCGCCAACAGGCAACGTTACGCCACTGATCAAAGGTAAGGTATTACATATAAATACTTACTTTTATACTTTGATGAGGTTTAGCCAAAAGGTTATCGTACTTCGTGTAGACTGCGTGACTTCTCATCTTAGGTCTAGATATCTTGGACTTTGTGGTGTTTCCACAGGGCGGAACACTAACAGTATTCAAGCCGGCTTCCTACCGTCGACTTGAACAGTAGGATTATAATGATCTTTGGGGGCATTAAGAGATTAGGTTAGGCCGTTTATAAGCCGTATAGTGGCCAAACCTAATTTCCCCAATTTCCCGACTTATCTTTAGAGGTTTCCAGGACGCAATACGCCATTTTCTTGGGGTCATTGGCGGTTATGTTGATGCGAGTGATCCATTTAAAATCATATGTGGGAATTGGGATTCACCCCCTACGAGGTAAGAAGGAGCTGTATTTTCCTTTAGATGTTTTATACGCGTGGACTCGTGGAGACAATATGAAAAGGATAGCTCCTTTGTAATAAAAGAGGAGTTAACCTTTTAGCTGATGACCTTGAACTTATCTGCATGTTGTTTTCGATTGACCATTTAACAACCTTGTCTCCTTGGAGGAGGGCCAGATCTCTGGAAATATTCGATGGCTCTGGAAATATTTGCTCATGTAATATTTTATTTCAGGACTGGACGAATTTTCTAACTCAAACTAAATCATCGAGAAATAACACTGATGTAAAATGTGGGAAATGTGTATGGTCTACAGTCAACTTCCAGTTCCTTCCTGTTATACATTCAGTGTATAGATATTTGACGGTGTGCTCGATGGGAATACTGGAAAACTTCTTTTATAACAAAGTTTATTTAACATTTTTGTGAGATCTTAAAATTAATTTCAGATAAGTTGTCATTATCGCATCAGAATTTTATAACTTCTATTTTTAGGTTCTATTTTTAACTTTGGATATTTTTTAATTAAAAATAAAATATTCTTATTTATGCACAATAAGAAATTATTACAAGATTTCGCTCATTTCGGGAAATTCTCGAATATATTTTTAGTTCAAGATGTCATACGGACAATTATTACGGACAATTATTACTTGTTTTTATTCTGTTCAACGTTTAAAGTTGTGTGGTTGATTTCATTGACAATGATAACAATGGTAACTATTGCAATGTTCATTCCCGATGACGACCGCAAGTGAATATCGTTGCAATTATTCTCTCACCAGAACCTCCTTCATCAGAAGGTACCATGACAACTGTGGTGCTCCAAATTGTTATCTTTCTAAGACTTGGACTCTTTGTGTTGACTGCTGAAAATAACGTAAACAGTACTGTAAAATCACCTCAACTTGAGGATGAGAAGAATAATGGAAGCGTTGAACGGGAAAAGTAAGTAACTTTACAATTAGCACATATTATATAATAATAATGCTGTATAATAATATAGTAATACATATTTTATCCTCTGTCTATCAGTAGTAGGCGTGCAAATTCTGTCTGATTAATCTTTAGCGGGTACATATAAGCATATAATAATTATTGATATTTTAATGGACTTCCCTTAATTTCAAGGGGCCCCACTTTAATGATTTTATTTTCAGATATCTGAAGTGGCTAAAGATAGCTTACACTGGGTTGTACATTCTATGTGGAGTATTCTTTGTCCTGTCACTCCCATTTTGCTGTGGCTTCAGACGTGGCGGCGTTTTGGGAGGTTCTGCGGCTAGTGAAAGACAAGCTCTCATTGGAAACGTGGAGAGAGGGTCTACATTTTCATGTTGCCAGTCTACTGGAACTACTTGTCTTGGAACTGGACTGCCTGTGTTCCTCTTTATTGCATGTGGCATATCAAGTCTGGTTATATATGGTGTTTATCTGTTTTCTGGGTATATTTTCCAGTTCTTATCTAGACATAATGAACTTGCTCCAGTCTAATATATATAACATTTAGGAAACATAATAAAAAGGAATCCCCCTGTTATAGCAATAAGTCATTTAAATAACAGCAAGAGCTCGCCACTTGTTCCTTTTCAAGGCAAAGTCCATAAGTTTAAAGAGGTACCCGACATTTCTTAAGCTTAAATCTCACTCTTTGGCCGTTGGGAGCGTTCACATAATATTACGACAGCAAGGTTTTGGCACACTGGACCCACACCTTCTTCACCACTAGCACATTTTAGGCTAGTGCGGAATCAGTCTGCAGTGTGAACATGACCAAACATGGTCCATCTTAGTTAATGACCAGCTCTATCAGGCAGTGTTTTCGTTTTACAGCGCTTATATTTTATAAGCTACACTGCTACAGAGTTCATGGTTTTTATCAATACAGTAGTCCATCAATCTTAAGAATACGCCGGAGGTGAAGTGCTTTTCTGTGGGTAATATTTAGTTTTACTAGGGAGCAGCCCAACTTTTGTTGCTTTTTAGAATTCGAGTTACTTTAACTTGAAAGCGGTTTTAATAATCATTATTTTTTACATTTTATATTTTTCATATTTATATTTATTTTATACGGTAATTTTAATTTTAATTTTTTTATTTAAAATTTTCAAATAAATTATCATTATCGCATCAGCATTTCAATATAATCTTTTCTAAATTTTCAAAGTCATGTAAAACTAATGATGATGAGATACCTGATGAGGTAATAATTTTCCAAGACTTTGTCCGATATAATATTTTGTTTTGCTTTACAATTAATAATGATTTCTTGGTTTTACTTTGCATATCATAAATGCTGAATCTTGCAATCATTATTGTTTGGTAATTTCATCGACTAGGGTAACTATTTAAGCTGCCAAATTTTCGAAGACACCATTCAGTGTTTACAATAAAGTAATGACGACCGCAAGTGAATATCGTTGCAATTATTCTCTCACCAGAACCTCCTTAATCAGAATGTACCATGACAACTGTGGTGCTCCAAATTGTTATCTTCCTAAGTGTGCTGTTTTTGTTGACTGCTGAAAGTAACGTAAACAGTACTGCAAAATCACCTCAACTTGAGGATGAGAAGAATAATGGAAGCGTTGAACGGGAAAAGTAAGTAACTTTACATTTCTGTGTACTGTGTAGTGTGTAGAGGTGATATGATACAATATAATACCCTATTCCCCTGGTGTCCCGGCAGTGCACAAGCATCCTTGGGGAAGTAGGTTTGCAAATTGTGTTTAAATTTTCGCTAGTGATCACATTTTGACGATTTTTTGAGTTTGTACAATTTCAAGTTATCCAACAAATAGTCACACTTTCAGATACCTGGAGAAGTTAAAGATAGCGTACACTGCGTTGTATATTCTATGTGGAGTATTCTTCGTTCTGTCATTCCCATTTTTCTGTGGCTTTAGAAGTGGTGGGGTCGGGGCTAAAACTGCAGCTTCCAACAGACAATCTCTCATTGGAAATGTAGAAAAAGGGTCGCCATTTGCGCGTTGCCAGTGTATCGGAACTACTTGTTTTGGAACTGGACTGACTGTGTTTCTCTTCCTTGCATGTGGAATATCAAGTCTGGTTGTATATGTCGTTTATCTGTTTTCAAAGTGGATCTAGCTATTACTTTCAATAACTTTCAATTGAATAAAGTACGCATCGGAATTGTTTTTATGCAAAGCAGCGAAATAGGGAATTTTTATTATTTTAAGGCCACAATTTTGAGTAATTCAGATTTTATTTGTTAATACATTTTGAAGATATTTATCTTATTTGTTTCATTTCAGTCAATTTATTTAACTTGGTTTGAAGAATAATGCTTGTTATAATTGGAATATTGAACCATTTTTTAAAAGGAATTATTTTTAATTTTTAATTATTTTAATCACTTTACGGTAATGTTACAGTAATAGAAGTGTATTTTTCTGTATTTAACTGAATATTTTAAACAATTTAGATTATTAATTCTATTCTTCGTTTTATCTTGTTGATTATTATGTATTTCACTAATTTATTTAATGATTACATTTATGATTAAGTTTCATCCTAACTCAGTACACTTTTACATCTTTTAAAAATTGTAGATAGTTGTCCTTCGCTCAGGACTTATTGACTCTTTGAATTTTATTTTACTATCTAAGAGTTAAAATACAGTTAAATTAAATATTTAATGATTGCAATCCTTTAAGTAATGATTAATTTAGATCCAATATGATATACTATACGTATACTATAGAGATTTTTACCTACATTAAAAATCAGTGAAAAATATGGGCCTGGCATGTGATCGACTTTCCCGGTGGAGTTTGAACTTAGAAATTTTGTTGGTTGTTATTAAGCCTTATGAACGTCGGATAAGCTTTGTTCAAAAATTATTTGGATATGTTTTGGTTTTATGAACCTACCTAACGTATAGTTATTACCTTTTTTACTCTTATCTGCCTGAATTTTAATTGCATTCCACTGAATCTTAACTTCAAAATTGTTCGGTAATTTCATTGACAATTATAACTATCCCAACTTAACTAGTTGAAGTTCCATTGGCGCCATTTAATTATGATGATGATTCAAATAGTTTGTTGCAATAACCCTACTTATGCTCCTTAGCCAGAATGGGACATGAAGTCCTTGCTGCTGCAAACTGTTATCTTCCTAAGGGTGTTCTTTGTGTTGACTGCTGATACTGACATTAACAGTGCTGCGAAATTACCTAGTTTTGAGAAATCACCTAGTTCTGAGAAATCACCTAGTTCTGAGAAATCACCTAGTTTTGAGAAATCACCTAGTTTTGAGAAATCACCTAGTTTTGAGAAATCACCTAGTTTTGAGAAATCACCTAGTTTTGAGAAATCACCTAGTTTTGAGAAATCACCTAGTTTTGAGAAATCACCTAGTTTTGAGAAATCACCTAGTTTTGAGAAATCACCTAGTTTTGAGAAATCACCTAGTTTTGAGAAATCACCTAGTTTTGAGAAATCACCTAGTTTTGAGAAATTACCTAGTTTTGAGAAATCACCTAGTTTTGAGAAATCACCTAGTTTTGAGAAATCACCTAGTTTTGAGAAATCACCTAGTTTTGAGAAATCACCTAGTTTTGAGAAATCACCTAGTTTTGAGAAATCACCTAGTTTTGAGAAATCACCTAGTTTTGAGAAATCACCTAGTTTTGAGAAATCACCTAGTTTTGAGAAATCACCTAGTTTTGAGAAATCACCTACTTTTGAGAAATCACCTAGTTTTGAGAAATCACCTACTTTTGAGAAATCACCTAGTTTTGAGAAGTCACCTAGTTTTGAGAAATCACCTAGTTTTGAGAAATCACCTAGTTTTGAGAAGTCACCTAGTTTTGAGAAATCACCTAGTTTTGAGAAATCACCTAGTTTTGAGAAATCACCTAGTTTTGAGTCTCATGAGAGTAGCGGGTGTGATGAACATGACAAGTAAGTAACTTTACATTTCTGCGTGGTCAATAACCACTGGTCACTGCTGAATCTTGCAATCATTATTGTTTGGTAATTTCATCGACTAGGGTAACTATTTAAGCTGCCAAATTTTCGGAGACACCATTCAGTGTTTACAATAAAGTAATGACGACCGCAAGTGAATATCGTTGCAATTATTCTCTCACCAGAACCTCCTTTATCAGAAGGTACCATGACAACTGTGGTGCTCCAAATTGTTATCTTCCTTAGTGTGCTGTTTGTGCTGACTGCTGAAAGTAACGTAAACAGTGCTGTAAAATCACCTCAACTTGAGGATGAGAAGAATAATGGTAGCGTTGAACGGGAAAAGTAAGTAACTTTACAATTAGCACATATTATACTATTATACGTTTTTTCAAGTCAAGTTCTTAGATATGGTAATGTTTGCACTAGATTGGATATCTTTACCTCCCATCTTCACAAAATATTCAAAATTCTAATTGATAGAGGATATAGCCGTGATAGACTGATTAAAGGCATTAAACGTTGTCTGAGGAAATATAATAACGTTTT